TATGGCTACGTTCACACTGCAGGTCTTAATGCTCAATTCCGATTTTTTGATCAAATCCGATTTTTTTGTCTCTCGTTCACACTACAAATAAAATGCGACAGCAAACGCGCTCTAGTGTGAACGCTCAAAGCGCCCGCATGCGCAAAAGAAGACGTCACACACAACGCGCTCTGTTTAGACCCAGAGCAAACAGTATTGTTTGACTGATGGCCCTTAATATAAAGACTTCGGACTTACGTTTCCCAATTTTTGCTTTAAGTTATTTTGTTATTTACATAATAATGTAGATAACCTAATAATTATCCTTATTGCTGTTTTAGAGGAGCGGTGCTTCAAAGGATAGCTGCAGATTTCTGTCAGAACCTGCAGGTTATGCAGTACAAATAAAATGTTTCTCCAACGTTGTCTTCCCAGCAGTCTCACCGGATGTCTTCTCCGGCGCTGATAATTGGCGTCTGTCTTGTGTCAGTGACAGAAAAGACGGATTTAATGCGACATGACCGTTCACACAGCAGTCGCTTTCTGAAACATCAGATATGTATTGGATTCAGTACCACATACGAGAGTGACCCAGATCGGATTTGAAAATATCGGATTTGTGCCGTTCACACTGTCACACCATGATCGGATATGGGTCGCATAGGGTCAAAAAAATCGGATTTGATGCGCTTTCGCCTGCAGTGTGAACGTAGCCTAAGTGATAGTGATATGGCACCACAAGGTCTTTAAGATAAGATGGGGCCAGATTTTTTACGAACATGTTTATTATGGGAAGGATTTTAAATTTGATCCTGGAAGCTAATGAAGAGAAGCCAATATAGGCAAAATATGCTCTCACTTTCTAGCACCCTTCAGTACTCTTGTTGCATCACTTTGGATGAACTGAAGGCTTTTCAAAGAATTTTTTAAGACAACCTGATAATAATGTTCATAGTTCAACCTAGAAGCAATAACTGCATGAACTATGTTTTGCAGGATCACCATGAGACAGGATGTTTTAAATTTTAGAGATATTGCACAAATTAAGGAACGCAGTCCTGAATTTTTTTTAATGTGCTCATTGAAGTCTGAATGTTCTGCTAGAGACAGACATTCTCTGTTTTTTAGATTAGGCTTAAAACTTTTAATTCCCTGAAAGTATATGAGTGAAGAGATGGTCTGTACATACATCACTCTGCATTTAATCATTAATCCAGTCTTACTGTTTTGGCTAATAGCCAATTGGACAGATACGTTTTGTAGCCTGTGGAAGCACCTTGTGTATAATCAGTGTAGTTCTTGCTCAGTGCTTTATGAATTATGTTTATTGGCTCCTAGGAAAATGCACAATTAGTAATAGGTCCGTGTGATGGTTAGTGGAGTAGGTGGACAGGGAGAAGGTGATAAAACAGCTGATGAAACAGACCAAAACAAAATAACTTGTATTTAACCCTCACTTTTAACCTTTTGCCAGTTGCGATATTGGTGATTTAGAGAGTTTATCTACTTTTTTCTTTCTTACTTTCTTTCTTACTTCTAGATGAGACCTAAAAACTTCAGGATGGTAAGCAGCAGTGTTAGCATTTAGATGTTTCATCATTTACTTTTCTTGTTAACATATCAACATGACAATAATGATAACAATGCTGTTATCTTCTTTTCTCTGATTTCCAAGACTAATGCAGAAATGGGCTCGAATAGAGAAAACTAATTAGGTACATTTTCCCGATTTCCATGTTAATGTTTTGTTTGTGTCCATTGTTAGAGTTGACAATAAGAAGAAATGCTAATGAGGGGCTTCTAATCACATTGTCCTAATGGGAAGGCTATTTACACATCACAGAGGCTGTAGTAATTCACGTACCCCCTCCCTTAGAAACAAAGGACAAGGTCTTTGTCGGGATGATATGAATATTGGAGAGAGGAAAGGGTAAGTTACAACTTACGACACACATTATTTGTACTATTTCTATTCCTAACATTACTCTGTTTTTCACCATAATTTCTTCTGATTTGCATTATGAATGGTAAATGGACTGATTCTTATTTAGCGCTTTTCTACTCTCGCGGAGTACTCAAAGCGCTCTATACAACATGTCACATTCACCCAGTCTTAGTGCTTTCTAACTATATTCATACTCCGATGGATGCATTGGCAGCATTATGAGAACTTAGACTATAGTATACATCCAAAATGGTTATTGAAGAAATGTGCTGTAACGAGGACAGCATTGAGCAAAAGCAAAGACATGAAGAGAAACTATGACTTTTTGGGAGCAAAAGTCTAAGATAAGATAAGATAAGATAACCTTTATTAGTCCCACACGTGGGAAATTTGTTTTGTCACAGCAGGAAGTGGACAGTGCAAAAGTTATGAGGCAAAAATTAGAATACAATAAGAATAAATACAGTACACAACTGTACAGAATAGAATAAAATACTATATACAGTAGAATAAAATAAAATAAATATACAATAAGATAAAAATAGAATACAAATACAAATGCTATATACAACTGAATAAAAATACAACGATGACAGAAAGGATTATTGCACTTAGTATTATTGCATATGTATGGATGTGTGTGCTTGATCAGTTAAAGTTTTTATTATGGAGTCTGACAGCAGTGGGGAGGAAAGACCTGCGAAATCTCTCCGTCCCACACCGTGGGTGCCGCAGTCTCCCACTGAAGGAGCTGCTCAGTGCTGTCACAGTCTGCTGCATGGGGTGGGAGATGTTGTCCATCAGGGATGACAGCTTAGCCGCCGTTCTCCTGTCACTCACCACCTCCACTGGGTCCAGAGGGCATCCTAGAACAGAGCTGGCCCTTCGGATCACCCTGTTCAGTCTCTTCCTGTCCCCAGCAGAGATGCTGCCGCCCCAGCAGACCACACCATAAAAGATAGCAGAAGCCACAACAGAGTCATAGAAGGTCTTCAGGAGTGGGCCCTCCACTCCAAACGACCTGAGCAGCTTTATTTGGTAAATGGACTGGTTTTTAAATAGCACTTTTCTACTCTTCTGAGCACTCAAAGCACTTTACTCAATGGGTTGTGCATTCACCCATTCGCCACCACCCGCAGCAATATGAGAACCTACACTATAGAGAACCTACACTACCGCCTGAGCTACAGCCACCCCCAAATTTCAATTCCCAAATGTGGCGATGTGTCTCCCAGAGCAGCAGTTCAGTGACATCTATGTATATCTAGTAGGGAATTGCTCACCTTACACTTCTGCCAGGATAAAAGCTTTCAAAGGTTATACAGCTACATATATTTTTAATCTGGATGAGTAAATAATGGTGTGGTGTGAGAGGCAAAGAACAAGAAAATTGTTCATTGTAAATCTTATGGTTGACTGACTTGGCATTTACTGTGTCGCAGTAATGTTGTGTAATAACAGTTAAGTTGACCGAGTATTTTTCTAATGTCGTCCTACAAGTTAAATGAGCCACCGCTGACAGCCAGGGTTGCTGTGGAGAAGCACAGAGTAGTGCGATATGGTCTGTAAGCAGGGGCGGATCTAGAAGGGTGGCGCCACCCTAAAATGATCCCTTGCCACCCCAAGTGCCACCCCAGTTTTCCATATGACAGTGTTGTTTATTAAAATAAGATAGCATTAACAGTTTGAGCGTAGTTACAGTCAACAGTGAATATAAATGCTAAAACTGAATATATTGCATAGTGTTTCCCCCTCCACCATTAACAAATGGTTCAGCCCATAGCAGGACCGGCTTTTTCCTTGTTTTCAGTAGCAAGTGATGTTTATGATTGTGCCAGAGCACATTTTGAAGAACACCATGGGAATTTCGCTTTTTGCACAGGTGGGTGGATGTTACACTCTGGAAATGGAAGGAAGGTGAGTGTTATTAACCCTCTGTGGTCCACGGACACGCTGCACCTCCAAATCACATGACTGATATCGAGTGAGAGAGAGCGAGAGAGTTTTTAGATGTGGGAGATTTGTGACGTTTAGTGTGTATACTTAGTGTGTTCTCTTGTGTAGTTGTTCTGTTGTGTAGTCGTTTTGTTTTGTGTGTCAGTGAGGGCACTAATGAATGTCACAGAGGCACATTTGCAACGTAAACACTGTCACTAAGTAGAAAACCAGCGGAGTGATACACCTCCTGTTGTCAGGCCTGCAGGTTTATCCCTGTGCTGTTCTCATCTGTCTTTTGGTGGACAAACTTTTTTTTTACTGCCACACATCATTTGTGGGGCATCTTATTGCAACACCGGATTGTTCTCTCATTTTAGTTTTAGTAATATTTTTAAATGGTTGTACAAAATGAAAAAAACGGCAGGTGTATTGGCTGCATTTTTAGATAAATAGTTGTATATGTTTACAAAATGTACATTTTATATTTGCATTTCAAGTTATAAAATTTTACTCAACATGTCTGTGGTTTTTTTACAGTAACAAAATGCTACTAGGATTTTAAGTTCTTTGTGTGATTTCAGATCTGTAATCCTAATGCAGTATGTCAGTGAAAAAAACAACTAAATTCAGTTGAGCTGAAAAGAATGAAACCAAACAAGGCAAGGGGAACAAAACAAAATGAAACAATATGAGGGTGAAATACAAGCGTAAACTCAAAAGGAATCAAAAATGGCCGGTTGTATTTCAGACCTCAGTGGGTTAATCCAACAAATCATGAAAAATTAGGTTTACATTTTTGTTCATGACAGTGCAGATTTCTGACATTTTGTGTAATTTAAGCTGTAACAATGTGATTGTTTTCTAACAAAAAGCAGTGAAACTTAAGTTAGACCTGTGTTTGTAAATGAACCGCCCCATGTTATGTAGCTTTTTGGATTTTATACTTGTTGGGCTACATATTTATTTATTATACAGGCTATACAGTACATAAGATCAAAACTCACGTTTTATGTAACTAAAGTGTGTAATTATGTGGGCTACAGACAATAATTAAGTTATAGACTATATTTATATGAAAAACGTGTATACTTACTGCATTTGAATTATTTTAACCATATGTAACCACCTGCATATGTGTTTGGAAAAAAAAGGCTTTGATTTTGCCACCCCATTTGATTTCTTTGCCACCCTCATGCCACCCTAAGAAAATTTCTCTAGATCCGCCCCTGTCTGTAAGGCAGGGTTAGGAGAGATGTGCTCACATGTTAGTGCCATACTCAACACAATTCTGGCAGTTATAAATAAACTTTGATTAGTACATCTGATAGCACAGCAACTATCTGGGATTAAACTCAAAGATGTTGAGTTGATGGGTGGATGGCTGTGGACCAAAGCACTGTTTTTGCTCTCCAGATGGACCAGAACGTCAGACATGAAATCTATGGATATTTTCTTCATTGAGATGATGATTGTGTATTTTTTTTCAGTGAACACCAAGATAAAAATATTTGCTGCCATTTTAAATTTCCAAATTTTCCAAATGTCATGAATATTGTGAAGAGCCATGCAGTCTGTGCTGTCTGATAAGTTTCTGAATTTATCTTATTGGCTCCCAACTTTTTTAAGGGTGGTTTATAAAACATCAGAATTGTACTTTGATGTGAGAAATGTAGGGTAAAAACTGTGTGGTAAACACAGCTCTTAGTTGTTCACCTCTTTATTTTGTCACATTCATAGCATTTTTTACCCGAGCCTTGCAACCTTCAAAAAATAAAAAACGAAAGCCAAAACAATGCAGAAATGTCGGGGAGTTAACAACTATTCAGTGTGAAAAGGCATTATTAATCCATTGTGGCAGTAATTGTGAGACACAGGTGGATTTCTTATATATGTCTGCACACACTGTGGTAAAATGTGGTTTCTGCTTTCACTGCGTTCTTACTTTACCCTATTAGACACGCAGAGGATATATTTCACATATGGAAAAACATGATTTAACTGTTTTTAAAAAGTCAAATAGTTTACACTATTTCGATTTTGAAAATATATTTTTTCATTGTTTTTACTACAGACTGCATATGGGCATAGTCCCCCATTAGGTTTTTAACTCTGCGTACTGAAGATTCAGCATTAATGTTTTGGGGCCTGCCATGTTAGCTGTTAGTTTTGTTTTTGGAGAGGAGGTGATAATATTAGGGAGAATGAAGACTCAAGTTATCAAGTTAGCTAGTTATACTAGCTAGCAAGGATCAGTAGCAGGTGGCATTTATAAAGTGTAAAGTTGCACCTCAGATACATTTGCTAGTTTGTGTAAAGTAACAAGCTAGTAAAGTAATAGAATTTTACTCACTAAAACAGAAGCACAGACTTTAGGCAATTTGTATCACAGTGGAAGCTAAATTATAGGTTGCTTGATGCTTAAGCAATTAAATCTGTTACTTCAAATCCTAACTGCTGCCTTTCTGTAGAGAGCTTACATGTTCCCAATTGGGAGCCTGACTTCCTGCCATAGTCCAAACACCTTCATATTAGACTATATTAGCTATGGATGGTAAATGGTAACTGGACTGAATCTTATATAGCGCCTTTCTACTCTCCCAGAGCACTCAAGAGCTTTATAAAACATACCACATTCACCCATTCACACAAGCACTTTCTTCTTTGCTTGTGTGTTTTCTATGTTACATTCACATGCATCCATACTCCAGTAGACACACTGGAGAGCAACTTTGGCACACAGACTGGGGGAGCCAGGGATCAAATCACCAACCTTCTGATCAATAGATGACCTCCTCTACATCGTACCTCCAGCTACCACAGGTGATGACTTCATACACAGACCATATTGATCAGATCAGTATCCCTCATCCAATTTGTGATTCAGTGGATGATGAGAGTCAAACCTTAATACTGATCTGTATGTTTGTTTACGGTACACATGTACTTTTAAATGTCCTCTATTACTGATGGAAATCTCACAGTCTAAGAAGGCTAACCTGCCACTTTTCGTATCCTCTCTGGTGAAATTGTTGTGCTTGTCCAATGAGTTAATGTTATCAGTGAATTATGGTACATCCTGAGATTTGTTTTTCACTCAGGTATCACCCACATACCTGAACCAATGACTTCGTGGTGTTCCAGAGCAGGATAACAGAGCTGTGTTTTCCACTTCCAGCTATAATTACTAACCCATTTCACGGTCTTCCTCTTAAATCCAGAAGCAAATTTAACCCTCTCAGGCCCAAATTAAGTTTTTTGTTGCTAATGCACAACCAAGTCCTGCAGTGGTACTTCTGAGTAAAAAAAACCTCATAAAACATGTATGTGTCATGAATCGCTGTGCGGCAGGCAGGAGTTGGACCCAAAATGCAGGACTCACAGACTCGAGGGAATGAACTCAAAACACAGCTTTATTTGCCGGTAGAACAAACATACAAACTAAACTAAACTGGGAAACCACAAACAACCACAAACTAAGAACTCACAGAGAGACACAGGGAGATCCACACAGCATGAGGGACGACACGACACTGACTCAGAGAAACACAGGGTTTAAATACACTGGGAAGTAACGAGGGGAATGAGACACAGAAGGAGGGCACAGCTGGGAGAAATCAGGACTGACGAGACAAGCAAAGCAGGACGCATTCACATGAGACACGGACCATCAAAGTAAAACAGGAAGTATCACACAGAGACGCGAACTTGACACAGTGGAGACAGCAACTAAGAAATACAGAGACATAAACCATAAGGCAGAGGTCTAAGAACCAAAATACACAGGGAAATACTCAGCTGGGAACACAAGAGACTAGACTAGAGAGAGTAACAAAAAACCAACCATGAGAACATAATGCACAATGCAGAGTGACAGAAAACAAGAAACTCAAACATGCAAAGACACACAATTACACAGAACAGAGGGGCCACAGAGAGACATGAAGGGCAAGGGATCAAAACTAGAAACGATAAAATAACTCACAAGTACAATAATACAAAAAAATCACAAAGAACTAAAAACGCTGGGTCAGGAGACCCAGGACCGTGACAGTATGTGGGGTAATCAGGTTGTTAGTTTTTAACTGTTGCAAATCTGCAACGTCTGCCTGGAGAGGGTTAAAAGCCTTATGACCACTTACGAGGTCTAGAATAATCAGACCCCATAATACTGTATCACCCCAATAGAGGACTTTGCTCTCAGCTTCCTGGGCTCCCTCTGTATTTGAATATTTTCTAAGTTAAATAAAAAAAAAAATCAATACAGAAATGTACAACTTCTGAAAATCTGTTGATTTATATACCTGTCCATTCATGGGGCTCTTTTACTTAAAGAAATATAAGATAATATAAATTAAAGCACAAGAGCAGAGTTTCAGTTTCAATATTATTGTCCATATAAATGCATTTACACCAAAATATCTGGTAATGTTAACAGTTATTAAACAGTGAAGAAACTGTACAAAAATTTAAGAATAGTGTGTCATGAAATTAAACTGCAACTATATGGATTATGGCAGGAGTGTAAAATTTGGTGTTTTTCCAGGAAGTAAACACTTGGCTTTCTAGCCCAACTAAAAATATTATTTGCTCTTTTAAAATTTGCAGGCTGTGAGTACTTAATACACTGTAACTAACATTACAATGTGCAAAAATTTGCGTACCATAAGCAAAACACAGATTTTGGTGATTTTGGTCAGTACAGCCAACTATATCATTACCCCAGTGGTACACAAACATTTACAAAGGCCTGTAGCATACATTTTTTGCGGAAATGTCACATTAAGGGCAGAAATTGCTTCATGGCTTCTGAAGAGTACAGCAGGATAATAAGGTCCTGGGTGTGTTTGTTTGTGCCTTCGACCTGATCGGCATTCTGATGAGCAGGCACGTCTGCAGGACTAATTGGCCTCTTTAAATGGAAAAATGTCCAGTGAGCGTGACCCATCTATGAGTCGGTAACACCCCACCACCTCCATCACCGGTCTGTTTATCATCACTTTATGAAAACAAAGCCCTCCAATTAGCAGAAGGGCAGTCATGGAAATAATAATGACCATAAACTGAATGGTCATTGAATGGATTTAAAAAGTTGAAGTCAAACAATTGTGATTCACTTAAAAAGTAATTTATTTATAAATCCCTGGAGCTCTGTGCTTTGTTGCTGTACTGTTTATGTACCGGATTTATATATGTAGCCACACTGGAATGTCAGCACTTAATTTTATAATATAATATAATATTAGCATTGATTAAATAATAATAATAATAATAATAATAATAATAATAATAATAATATCATAGTTCATTCAATATCAATAAGAGCAGTAATAGTTAAATCATAGTTAAAGCATTTTAATTCCAGCTACTTAGATGAATAACAGACAACGAGGAATCTTTTCATTAGCTTCATTTTTATTTTCTAGGGTTAAAAAAACAACCAACACACACACACACACACACATACACAGAGAGAGAGAGAGAGTTAAATTTCTTGTCTTAATTTGTTGATAAAAGTAAGAAGAAAATAAGAACATATATTGAAGGTTTGCTAGTTATCATATCATTTATTTATCCTGATAGAAGTCTCATTGACACTGTTTTTCTTCTTCTTGTGTTTTTTAAAAGTGACCTGAGAAAAAAGACAGCAGATGTTACAAGAGGTATAGAAGCTTAATAATAATAATAATATAATAATACATTTTATTTCATGGCGCCTTTCTAAAACCCAAGGTCACCTTACAAAGAGAAAAAGACAAAACAGTAGATTAAAATAGATTCTAATAGATTCTAATAAATTAAAATACAGAAACCAGCAAAATACAACCACGAACAACAAATTAAAAAAAACAAAAAACCCCATGATATGACAGTAAGTAAAATCTGTATTAAAGCGAGTAATCCAGTTTAAACAAGTAGGTTTAGGGAAGGGCATTCAGTCCCAACAGTAGGGCTGCCACGTTTGTACAAGGATGCCAGATGCTTAGGTAGGCCGGATATAAACCTATGTTTAACCAGAGTAGTGAAAGACCGCGGTGATCTGAAAATGATGTGCTGGGATTGTGCCGTTCTCGGCGGCTCTAGTAACCCTCGAGCTCTCGGCTATCTATCGAGCTGGTGGGTAACAGACGTCTCCGAATACGTCGAAGCACTTTTGCAAATATGCGATGTCTCGATAAACGGAGCAGATAGTTGCAGTTTACACACCCACATTCTCGCCTGAAAATATGTTAACAGTTTATTTTGTGACCCAGAAAGAGTCATTTTAAAACTTAGTAGCGGCCGCCATTGCCGGAAACTGGAGTTTGGCTGGGCCGCGCTATGAATCTTGGGATATGGTGGGCCACGAAGGACACACCCGACCCATCCTTAAAATTTGAAGAAAAGAAGGACTCATTTGTCGGCTACATTTTGAGGAGTCTACGCCTTCGGCGCGTCGCTGTGGCGTAATTGGTCTACAAATGCGTCCCCAGGAGGATGAAGCCCATGAAGTTGAATCACAGTCTTTGCAAACTACTTTCCTGCCTTGATGGAAAAGAAAATGGACATCAGACGATTTTTTTTGAGAAATGAGAGGGGCAATCCTTAAGTTGTGGTGGCTCTGCTTCTGGGTCAACACATAAAACAGGTAAACAAACTTAAATCCTGCATGTCTTTGAGATTCTATGAACATTGGGCAGATCATTCCCAACAGTCGTGTTTTAAACTCTTAAAAATCAGCTGTTGCTTCTGTCTGCCCCTCCCCATTGATCTGTAGCTCCTCATCATCGCGGAGAGCTCACAGAAAGCTTTCTCCCAGCTGTAACTGGCGGCTTTGTTTTAGCAGCACCAGAACTTTCTGAAAAGCTCTGAAGCATGCTTGCTTGTATTTAAAAATGTGCGCAGCAGTAGTCGCTTGTTCTGTCATGCAGATACAGCTTTGCTCGCGTATCTGCTTCATTATCCGCTCAGATGAGCGCACTGCGTGGAAACAATGGGACACAGCAGCATCATGAACTCCAGCTATAGGGAGATTTTTCAGGAGGAAAACAGATAAATAAAAAAAACATTCATGTTATAACTATGAGATCTGGTCTGTCATTTAAGATTTCATTTTTTTTGTCCCCTTACTTCTTAGATCATCGAAGAGTTCAGACACATCACCAGTTTCGTTGGTGGAGACATTCATGCTGAAACTTGATGAGTACACACCAGGTCTTTTGCAGCTTATGCCCACCAAAGGAGGAGCCGCTGGTTCCAAGATAAGACCTCTGCTGGACACTTTGAATGACGTATGTTATTTGACTTTTTTCACAAATATGTAATTATGGAGGGCTGCAGTGGGTAGCAAGAAGGTCCTGGGTTCAAATCCCGGCCCAGGGTCTTTATGCATGGAGTTTGCATGTTCTCCCTGTGCATGTGTGGGTTCCCCCCAGGTATTCCGGCTTCCTCCCACAGTCAGAAAACAGGACTGTTAGGTTAATTGGTCTCTCCAAATTGTCCTTAGGTTTGATTGTGCGCGTGCATGGTTGTTTATCCTGTCTGTCTCTATGTTGCCTTCTGATTGACTTTCCAGGGTGTACCCAGCCTCTCACCTGTTGAAAGCTGGAGATAGACATCAGCCACGTTTTTGTTTTTAATTCAGTCTTAATGTAAGTAAATCACTTGACTTAGTCTCTTCACTAAATTGTATCTTCCTACAGACACAAAGCATTTAGAAGAAAAGGCACCTCCTTATCTGCTGCCTCATTAGCTGCCTCGGGGAAAGACAAGAAGATCTTTTTCATGACTGCCAGGTACGTTATATTGATAACAGATTACTTATTAACTCAAGGGATTCTAATGTTCTTCTCTCCTGTCCTCTCCTATCCCCTGTTCTCCCCTTCTCCATTCATCTTCTGTCCACTCCCCTCTTTAGATAAACTGAAATATATTGAAAAAGCATCTTAAATAAAATAAAATAAAACGTGTGTATGCTTTTTGTTTCTTTCTTTTTAACACGTAGGAATGTGAGGATTACACAGACAATAAGATGAAGGTGATCGTGATCCACAACATCATGGCTGAGGAGGATCCATCAGATGTGTCCATTGTGATTGAGGGAAACCAAGTGATGGAGGGATGTGGAAGCCGAACAAAGGCATGTGTACTGCTGATGGGACTGATATATGCCCTCAACCTCGAATATCCGAAGGAGCTGAAGAACTTTTCAAAAACTTTTTTTGGAACTTGACGGGGCCAAACTACTGAAAAAGGTCCCCGGCCTCAAAAATAAGCTTGTGCAATGCACACACATTTCCCCTCTTGTTCCCAGAGGATCTTTTGTCCAGACATAGCTTGAGATATATATATTAGGGGTGCAACGATACACAAAATTCACGGTT